GAAAAACAACAACAAAGCCCAGAGTAAGTAGAAGGAAGGAAGTAATAAAGATAAAGCAGAAATAAATGACATAGAAACTAAAAAAAAACACAACAACCCAACAACTAAAGATAAATGAATCCAAAAGCTCATTCTTTGAAAAGATAAACAAGATTGACATACCTTTAACCCGACTCATCAAGAAAAATGGGAGGACCCAAATAAATAAAATCAGAAATGAAAGAAGAGTAACAACTGATATCACAGAAATATAAAGGACTGTCAGAAAATAGTATAAACAACTATATGCCAACAAACTGGACAACCTGGGCAAAATGAATCAATTCCTAGAAACATACAATCATCCAAAGCTGGATTAGAAAGAAGCAGAAAACTTGAATAGACCAATCACAGCTAATAAAATTTAAGCAGTGATTTAAAAAACTCCCAACAAACAAAAGTCCTGGACCAGATGGCTTCACAGGCAAATTTTACCAAACATTCATAAAAGAACTAACACCTATCATTTTCAAACTATTCCAAAAAATTCAAGAGGATGGAAGACTTCTAAGCTCTTTTTACAAAGCTAGCATTACCCTAATTTCAAAATTATATGAAGACACTATAAGAAAGAAAATTACAGGCCAATATCCCTGATAAACATAGATACTAAAATCCTCAACAAAATATTACTAAACCAAATCCAGCAATACATTAAAAAGGTCACACCTCATGATCAAGTGGGATTTATCCTAGGGATGTAAAGTTGGTAAAATACTCACAAATGAATAAATATGTTACATCACATAAACAAAACAAAAGACAAAATCACACGATCATGTCAACAAATACAGAAAAAGCATTCAATAATACAGCACCCATTTATGACAAAAACTCTCAGCAAAGTGGGAACAGAGAGATCATATCTCAACACAATAAAGACAATATATGAAAAACCTACAGCCAATATCATACTCAAAAGGCAAAAACAAAGTGTTTCCCTTAAGATCAGGAACAAGAAAGGGATGTCCACTTTCACCACTCCTATCGAACATATAGCACTGAAGTCATAGCCACTGTGATCAGACGAGAAGAAATAAAAAGTATCCAAATTAGAAAGAAGGAAGTAAAATAGTCATTAATCACAGATTACATGGTATCATATGTAGAAAACCCTAGACTCCACCAAAAAATTACTAGATCTAATAAAAGAATGTGGCAAAGTATCAAGATACAAAATTAATATTCAAAAATTGACGGCATTTTTATACACCAATAATGAACTATCAGAAAGAGAAACTAAGAAAATAATCCCATTTACTATTGCAACAATGACATAAAAATAAGGTGCCTAGAATAAATTTAACCAAGGAGGTAAAAGGCCTCCCCTCAGAAAACTACAGGACACTGAAGAAAGAAACTGAGGAAGATACAAATAAGTGGAAGTATATACCATGTTCATGGATTGAAAGAATTAACATCATTAAGATGTCCATGCTATCCAAAGCAATTTATAGATTTAATACAATTTCTATTAAAATACCAACAGCATATTTCACAGATCTAAAACAAATATTTCAAAAATTTATATGGAACCAAAAAATGACCCCAAATAGCCTTAGCAATCTTGAGAAAGGAAGAACAAAGTTGGAAGTATCACAATACCTGATATGAAACTATACTACAAGGCTGCTATAATCAAAACAGATTGCTACTGGTGTAAGAACAGGCATATAGATCAGTGGAACCAAACAGAGAACCTAGAAATAAACCCATGTCTTCATGGTCAATTAATATTTCACAAAAGAGACAAGAGCATACAATGGAATAAAGATAGTCTCTTCAATAAGTGGTGTTAGGAAAACTGGACAGGTACATGCAAAAAACTGAAACTAGTCCACCAACTTACACCACACACAAGAACAAACTCAAAATGAATGGAAGACTTAAATGTAAGCTGCAAAATAGTAAAAATTCCAGAAGAAGGGGACTTCCGCCAAGATGGAGGCATAGGTGGATGTGCCTTGCCTTCTCACACAACCAAGTTTAGAGACAACTAAATATTAGCAACAGAAAACACAGCCAGAACACGGAAAATTGAACTGTTCGGAAGTCCGTTAACAACAAATTCTTCAGCCTGATCTGTAAGGGGCGAAGCCAGCGGCTGGTGAAGCGGGGTTGCACAGGGGGACTCGGTCAGACGGACTCAGGCGCGCGGAATCCAGGTGCGCAGAATCCAGGCCCAGGGTTGGACCTAGTGAGCGACTGAGCGAGCCACCAGGCGAGCGACCGCGGAGGAGACAGTGGGGAAGCGGTGCTATGTGTTGGCTGTGGTCGCCTATTTGTGCGCGAGCGGACAGGCGAGGGAGTGGGCGGTTGGGCGGTTGGACCGGGCGGCGGGTCCCTGAGGCAAGCGACAGTAGAGGGCGCCGCCATTTCCCCGCTCTGACCACACCCCCACATACAGCATCACAACCCAGCAACCTGAGAGTCCAAGGCTCTGCTCCTCACACTTAAAGGGCCAGAACAGACCAAAAATGGCGCAAGAAGATCTCAAAGCCCCAGAGCCTATAAATCTAAGTGATGAAGAAATAGCAAAACTCTCAGATGCACAGTTTAAAACACTGGTCATCAGGATCCTCACAGAACTGGTTGATTACAGCCACAAATTAGACAAATATATGAAGGCGAAACGAATTGAAATGAATGGAATTGCACAGGACACCAATAGCGATGAAAAGGAAACTGGGACTCAAATCAATGGAGTGGACCAGAAGAAAGCAAATAAAGGCCAAACAGAAAAGAGTGAAGAAGTAAGAATTCAAAGAAATGAGGAGAGGCTTAGGAACCTCCGGGACATCTTTAAACGCTCCAACATCCGAATTATAGGGGTACCAGATGGGGGAAAGGCACAGCCACCAGTAGAAAACTTATTTAAACAAATAATAAAGGAGAATTTCCCCAATCTGGCAAAGGAAATAGACTTCCAGGAAATCCAGGAAGCTCAGAGAGTCCCAAAGAAGTTGGACCCAAGAAGAAACACACCAAGGCACATCATCATTACATTAGCCAAGATTAAAATGAAGGAGAAAATCCTAGAAGCTGCAAGAGATAAGGGGACAGTCACCTACAAAGGAGTCCCCATCAGATTGTCAGCTGATTTCTCAAAAGAGACCTTACAGGCAAGAAGGGGCTGGAAAGAGGTATTCCAAGTCACGAAATCCAAAGACCTACAACCAAGATTGCTCTATCCAGCAAAACTCTCATTTAGAATGGAAGGACAGATAAAGTGCTTCTCAGATAAGATCACATTCAAGGAGTTCATCATCACCAAGCCCTTATTATATGAAATGTTAAAGGGACTTATCTAAGAAAAAGAAGTTAAAGAAACATGAACAGTGAAAGGACAACAAACTCACGGTTATTAACAACCACACCTAAAACGAAAGCAAACTAAAAGGACAGCTAGATCAGGAGTGGAAACACAGAAATGAAGATCTCAAGGAGGGTTAGCAACAGGGGAGTAGGAGGAGGAGAAGGGGGGAAAAGGTACAGAAAATAAGTAGCATAGACAGTAGATAGAAAATAGATGGGGGGGGGGCAAGAATAGCAGGGGAAATATAGAATCTAAAGGACTTGAGACACATGGTCATAAACTAAAGGTGGGGATGGGGGGTAGGGTGGAGGGGAATGAAAGGGGGAATAGAACAACTGTAACAGCATAATCAATAAAAAAACAAAAAAAAGAAAAAAAAATTCCAGAAGAAAACATAGGCAGTAAAATTTTAGACACCTTATAAAGCAATATTTTTGCAGATATATCTCCTAGGTCAAAGGAAACAAAGGAAAAAATAAACAATGGGACAACATCAAATTAAAAAGTTTTTGTACAGCTAAAGAAACCATCAATAAAAGGAAAAGGGAATCCACTGTGTGGAAGAACATATTTGCCAGTGATAACCTGATATGGCGTTAATTTCCAAAACTACATAAAACACATACAACTCAACACCAGGAAAAGAAAAAAATCCAATTTAAAAATGGGCAAAAGACCTGAATAAACACTTCTGCAAAGAGGACACACAGATGGCTGACACACATATGAAAAAATGCTCAGTATCACTAATCATCAGAGAAGTGAAAATTAAAACCACAATGAAGTATCACCTCACACGTCAGAATGGCTAGCCGAAATAAGTAAACAACAAATGATGGCAAGAATACGGAGGAAAGGAAATCCTAAAACTGTTGGTGGGAATGTAGACCATTGCACCCACTGTGAAAAACAGTGGAGTTTCCTCAAAAAATTAAAAACGAAACTTTTTTGACCAGGGATCCCACTTCTGGGAATATATCCTAAAAATCCCAAAACACCAATTTAAAAGAATATATGCACCCCTATGTTCATAGTAACATTATTTACAACAGCCAAGATCTAGAAACAGCCAAGTGCCCATCAGCAGATGAGTGGATAAAAAAGCTGTGATACATTTATACAATGGAATACTACACAGCAGTAAAGAAGGAGGGACTCTTGTCTGTTGCTATGGCATAGATGGATCTGGAGATTATTATGCTAAAGGGAATAAGGGAGTCAGTGAAAGACAAATACCATAAGATCTTGCTTATATGTGGAATCTGATGAACAAAATAGAAATAGAGTCAGGGATATATGGAACAGACTGACAGCTGTCAGAGGGGAGAGGGAAGGGGGGAATAAGATAAAAGATGAGATTAGCCAAAGTACATGTGTGTTTAACTCAAAGACACAGACAACGGTGTGGTGATGGCCTGAGGGAAGGGAGTGTGACGGCTGGATGGAGGTGGGTAAAGTGGGGAAAATAGGGATATCTGCAAAAGTGTAAACAATAAAGTTTAAAAAATAAAAAGTAAATAAACTCTCCAGAAGGAGAATCATGCATATTTCTATTAACCATCTTTACACTACTAAAAATATTTGCCTGATAATGTAAAATACTTAATCATACTAGTCACATGAAAATAAATGGTAGACTAATATCTCAAAGGGAAAATAAAGTAGGTTTATTGAAGGATGTCAAATGCAGAACTACTTAATATACATAAAAGAAATACACATTATAATAGATGAGAAGACATTTTATTATTTTACTATATAGCATAGTAGTGAATATACTTGATTGCATTTCCTCAAATGGCAAGTGAGACACAGAAAACATTTTTCTTTAATTACTGAAAACCTCAATATCATCTGTCTTTTGGAGGATTCGATTTCTTACGACGTCTATGATACCTTGAAAAGAAGAAAATATTTAAGATTACTTATTTTAATAAAAGTTAACTGTTTCAGATAAATTTACCAAATTTGTTTATTTTGCCATTTATTAATATTCAATAAAATCAATCAAACTATATACATAAGCTGTTAAATATATCTCAGTACTTAATAAGCCAAATTTGCCCAGAGTGAAAATTGTTTTCTAGTAATTAAACATTTTGAAAAATCTTCATTGAGATCTTGAGGATAATTTCAATAACGTAACCTGGATGACTGTTAAAAAGTAATAATTGTCCTTTTAATAAAGAAACAGCACATTGTGAATATGCTCTAGTAAAGTTTTATTTTGAAAATCTTTCAGATTTTGAGGAAAATTTCAATTGGTAACATGGATGACTGATCTTTAATTAAAAACCAGTAAATGTGTTTACAATAAACAAGTAGCACATTGTGAACATGTTCAATTAAAGTTTTATTTAAAATGGGATGTTTTTCCCTCAATTGAGGATTCAGCTGCAAAATCATGTTTTAATATACTCTAGAATGAGGTTAATAATAGGTTTATGGAAAAATGTACAGTGTCACCAAAAAATGGAAGAAATGAAAATTAAAACAGTGATGAAACTTACATGTCTTTGCAATTAGAAATATTTATAAAGTCATAATGCCCAATCTAAGCATTGGTGTGGTGAAATAAGCAACATCAGACCTGATTGATTGAAGCATTAATTGGCATAATATTTTTGATAAGCAGTACAGCAAGATATATCAAAAATATTTTTAAATAGTTGTAACTTTTGATCTAGTAATTCCTCTTATGGAACTCTATCCTAAAGCAATATAAAAAATGGTTAAAATTTTAATTGGGGGAAGAGAAGATACAGGATGCAAATTTAAATATACAGCATAATTAAAACCATATAAAAATAAGCAAATTAACACAACTTAGGTATAGATACAAAGAAAAAAACAAATGAACTGCTAGCAGTGATCATCTTTTGAGTAATTTCAACAAGAATTCTTCTTGCCCTGGAAGGTGGGCTCAGTTGGTTGGAGTATCCCATATACCAAAAGATTGAGGGTTTAGTTCCCTGTCAGGGCATATATCTAGCTTGCAAGTTCCACCCCCCTGGGGCACATACAGGAGGCAACCGATCAATGTTTCTCTCTGTCTCTCTTCCTTCCTCTCTCTCTGAAATCAATAAGCATATCCTTGGGTGAAGATTTTTTTTTTATTTCTTTTTTGCTTCTGTGCATTACCTTATTTTCTTTATTGATACAAGAAAATTTCTGCAAAGTACATGTGCTTTTTGATGATGAGTTGTCTTCAAACAATTGCTCTACACCCAGATTTTGGCAAGTTGATCTGAGTTAGATTTTTTAAACTTTTTTGCTAATGTGGAAATACAGTGTAAGGATTTCTATACCACGAATGATAAAAATACATGTATCATACGCTTTTTAGTTGCTATGATTCAGATATCAAAAGCATTTTTCATTTATCTTAAGACTTCATACAGGCAACTTTCCCAGACTTTATTTTTTCTGATGTTGATTTTCTAAAATTTTCCAAAATATAAAAATGAAGTTGAAAAAGTAGTGAGTAGATCTATATATACTAATGTGGAACACTAATTTGTCAAATAATACATTAGCGTATCTGTGAACATTGATGGGCCTAGAGGGTTATTATGCTAAGTAAAATAAGTCAGACAGAGAAAGACAAATACCATATGATTTCACTTATATGTGGAATCTAGAAAACAAACAAACAAATAATGGAAGCACACTCATAGACAGAGAGCAAACTGATGAGTGTTGGGGTGGAGGACTGGAAGCGTAGATGAAAAAGGTGAAAGGAATTAAGTACAAATTGGCAGTTACAAAATAGTCACAGGGATATAAAGTATAACACAGGGAGTATAGTCAATAATACTGTAATAATTAGGTATGGTGCCAGGTGGGTACTAGACTTATCCGGGGGAATCACTTCATAAGTAATATAAATGTCTAACCACTATTTGTACAACAGAAACTAATATAATATTGAATGTCAACTGTAATGAAAAATTAAAAATTAAAAAATACATATAGAAAATCACTTATATGTAAACATTTCTACATGTACTCACAGTGGCATAGAGAAAATTAGTTTTCTTATGGGTTCCAATTATATGACAGATAATCAAAGTTTTACTAGTGCAATAGTATCCCTGGAAGTGTACTCTCAAACGCAGCAGGGTTTTGGGGAGTCATGAACTTTCTGAAATTTATAAAATTTTGATATGTGTTTTTTCTAGGAAATGGATTCACATATTTCGTCAATTTCTTAATGGGTCTGTGGCCCTAAAAATGCTAAAAAGCTATCCTATAAAAATGTGAGTCAGCTTTCACGTTGCTCAACCATTTTCACTATTCAAGAACACCTACAAAATGCTCGAGATCTTGACAGCCCAAAACCTGACAAAGTTCTAAAATATGCTCAATAAAGGTCAAATAGCACTTACAGATGTCCTATCATGCACAAATTTTGTTGGAAAAACTGAATAGACACATTAAAAAAAATTAAACCTGAGGACTTTCGCCAAGATGGAGGTGTAGGTGGAAGCACTGTGCCTTCTCACACAACCAAGTTAAAAAATAACAAAGTTTTAGCAACAAAAAAGCACCCAAACCACGGAAAATTGAACTACACGAAAGTCTGACAACAACAAACCCTTCAGCCAAACTGGTAAGAGGGGCAGAGCCAGCAACAGAGCAGAATCGGGCAGGAAAGATCCACCGGACCTACCCAGGTGCGCGACCCAGGCACGCTGGCAGCCATGGGCAGATCCCAGGTGTGGAGAAGCGGGCAGACCCACTGAGGGCACAAGGCGGTGGACCCACTGAGGGCTGATCATGGTCACATATTGGCGCGCGGATAAACCGGTGAAGGAGCTAGCAGTGAGATGAACCACACACGTCCCAGCGGCAGGAAGCGGCAGAGGGGACCGCCATTGTCCCTCTCTGACCCCACCCCCACATACAGAGTCACAAACCAGCGACCTGGGTGGCCCTGCCCTGGTGAACAACTAAGGCTCTGCTCATACGTAACAGGCATGAACAGATCAAGACATGGCGCAAGAAAAATCTCAGAGCCCCAGAGTCTAAGTGATGAGGAAATAGCAAAACTCTCAGATGCACACTTTAAAATACTGGTGATCAGGATGCTCACAGAACTGGTTGATTTTAGTCACAAATTAGAGAAACATATGAAGGCTAAACTAAGTGAAATGAATGGAAATACACAGGAAACCAATAGTGATGGAAAGGAAACTGGGACTCAAATCAAAGGAGTAGACCAGAAGGAAGCAAAAAATGACCGAACAGAAAAGAATGAAGAAACAAGAATTCAAAAAAATGAGGAGAGTCTCAGGAACCTCCAGGACATCTTTAAACGCTCCAATATCTGAATTATAGGGGAACCAGAAGGGGAAGAGGAACAGCCACGAGTGGAAAACTTATTTGAACAAATAATAAAGGAGAACTTCCCCAATCTGGCAAAGGAAATAGACTTCCAGGAAATCCAGGAAGCTCAGAGAGTCCCAAAGAAGTTGGACCCAAGAAGGAACACACCAAGGCACATCATAATTACATTGGCCAAGATTAAAATGAAGGAGAGAATCCTAGAAGCAGCAAGAGATAAGGGGACAGTCACCTACAAAGGACTTCCCATCAGACTGTCAGCAGATTTCTCAAAAGAGACCTTACAGGCAAGAAGGGGCTGGAAAGAGGTATTCCAAGTCATGAAATCCAAAGACCTACATCCAAGATTGCTCTATCCAGCAAAGCTTTCATTTAGAATGGAAGGACAGATAAAGTGCTTCTCAGATAAGATCACATTCAAGGAGTTCATCATCACCAAGCCCTTATTATATGAAATGTTAAAGGGACTTATCTAAGAAAAAGAAGTTAAAGAAAGATGAACAGTGAAAGGACAGCAAACTCACAGTTATTAACAACCACACCTAAAACAAAAGCAAACTAAGAGGACAGCTAGATCAGGAGCAGAACCATAGAAATGAAGATCACATGGAGGGTTAGCAACAGGGGAGTGGGAGGAGGAAAAGGGGGGAAAAGGTACAGAGAATAAGTAGCATAGATGGTAGGTAGAAAATAGATAGGGGGGCAAGAATAGTATGGGAAATATAGAATCTAAAGAACTTGAGACACGTGGTCATAAACAAAAGGGGGGGAACGGTGGGGGACGGGGTGTGAAGGGTGGAGGGGAATGAAGGGGGAAACAGAAAGGTAATGGCATAATTAATAAAATATATTAAAAAAATTAAACCTAGACCACCTTCTTAAACCATATACAAGAATAAACTCAAAATGGATTAAAGACTTAAATGTAAGACCTGAAACCATAAAATTCCTACAACAAAACACAGGCAGTAAACTCTCTGGAATTGCCCTTAGTAAATATTTTTTCTAATGTAGTTCCTTGGGCAAGAAAAACAAAAGAAAAAAATAAACAGGGGCGAAACCAGCAGCTATCGGAGTGGGGTTGCACAGAAAAACTCGGTCAGACATACTCGGGCACGCGGAACCCAGGCGTAGGGTTGGACCTAGTAAGCGACTCAGCGAGCGACCGCAGGGAAACAGCGAGGGTGCAGGCCTGCGGGTTGACTGTGGTCGCACTTTCCTGCGCAGATGGACAGGCGAGGGAGTGGGCAGTGAGACTACGGGACTGAGTGACTCCACAGCAAGCGGCAGCACAGGGCACCGCCATTTCCCCGCTCTGACCCCGACTCCACATACAGCATCATAACCCAACCACCTGAGTGGCCCCGCCCTGGTGAACCACCTAAGGCTCTGCTCCTCACCCAGCTGCTCGAAAGAGCAGAGGGTGCTGTCATTTCCCCGCTCTGACCACACCCCCACATACAGCATCACAACCCAGCAACCTGAGAGTCCAGGGCTTCGCTCCTCACACTTAAAGGGCCAGAACAGACCAAAAATGGCGCAAGAAGATC